TACGAAACGCATTTAACCCAATGTAAAATAGAGACCAGTGTTTTTAAATTGATGCAAAATAGAACCAGTGTGTCAAATTGATATAAAATAGATGCGTGATGATTTAAATCGATAAAAAATTGATATGTGATTTAAATCAGTATAGGCTCGTGATGACTTAAATCGATGTAAAATAGCTAAACAGCGTATTTAAATTAACATAAAGCATATATGACGATTTAAAGTGACAGAGACGCGATGATTTAAATTGACATAAAAGAGCGAAACAATGCACTTAGATACAAAACGCATTAAAACGACTACAGAAGAGACACGGGAAGCTTAAATGAATGCAAAACAGATAGAAAACGGACTTAAACAGACACGACGCATAACCCGAGCAGCTCTAAGCCGACCCTCCATCGCTGATTCACCGCTCCCCTGACTCCCCCCGCTCTGTGTCTCTCCGGCTGCAGACCCCGCCGTGATTTCCCCGCAGGACCCCACGCTGCTGATCGGCTCCTCGCTGCTGGCGACGTGCACGGTGAGCCCGGGCGTGCCGCTGCGGGCGCAGGACCTGTACTGGACGCTGAACGGGCGGCGCCTCCCGCCCGCATCCTACACCGCGCTCGGCCCCGCCACGCTCAGCGTGGCCCTGGCCCGCCTCAACGGCTCCCGCCAGCAGTCCGGGGACAACCTGGTGTGCCACAGCCGCGATGGAGGCATCCTGGCCGGCTCCTGCCTCTACGTTGGATGTACGTGCGGGCCGCGCCGGGGTCTGGTCATTGTGCATTGGGTCTGGTCACTGAGTTGGGGTGTGGTCACTGTGCATTGGGTCTGGTCACTGTGCATTGGGTCTGGTCACTGTGCATTGGGGTGTGGTCACTGAGTTGGGGTCTGGTCACTGTGCATTGGGTTGTGGTCACTACATTGGGGTGTGGTCACTGAGTTGGGGTCTGGTCATTGTGCATTGGGGTCTGGTCACTGTGCATTGGGTCTGGTCACTGTGCTGGGGTCTGGTCACTGAGCACTGGGATGTGGTCACTGAGTTGGGGTCTGGTCACTGTGCATTGGGGTGTGGTCACTGAG